TTGTCTATCATCCCGTATATCGTCTACGACAGCAGTAGTATGATAGGCAACCCGATTCCAGGTTGATCGCTGTTCCCTCCCCTCCCCGCGCTCGTTTTACTTTATCTTTGACGCCGCCAACTCTCGGACGACGGCCTCGGCGGTGAAAGAAGACGAGCTGGTGGTTCCACCGGCTTCGAGGGAGGAGGAGGAGGAGGCGGTAGAAGACCCGCAGCGCCAAAGGGGAGGAAGGTTGTTAATAGAAGGGTACGGGCGACCCCAACACACACAAGGTGGTGAATTCGACCAACTGAGCAACTCGCCGGGGGCGGGTAGAATTCTGCATCCCGCCCTCCCCCCCCAGGGTGGCTTGTTCTCTGCTTCCGGCCAAGCTTCCAACACCAAAACTGTCGTCTGCTTTTGGCAACGGGTTGCACGCATACCTTCGGCACCTCAACAATTTGATTCGTCAGGTCGAACCACTCATCTCTGTGCCCTCCCACAGACACGCATGCCCACACTAAAAAAAAAAAGGCTTTCTCTCCCTTCCGCACGCACCTCTAGCGTTAGCCACTCGAAGTCCTCGGCCACCAGGTCCCCCCGCCCACACGGGTCCCCCTTCCTCCCGTCCAGGCCGGCGGAGATCATCACCAGGTCCGGCCGGAAGGCCTCGAGCGCAGCTGAGAGTACGGCCACGGCACCGCCGCCGCCGCCGCCGCCGCCGCTGCCGCCGACGCCGCTGCTGCCTCCCAGAGCCACACGGGTGAGCCGCTGATGCTGCTGCTGCTCGCTGCTGCTGCTGCTGCTTGCGCCTGTGCCTAGCAGGCGGAGGGCGTGCTCGTGTGCCCCCACACCGGTGGTGGCGGTTGCGGCGTCTGAGGGGGGGAGAGAAAGAGAGCGGAAGGGCGAGCGACAACGAAGGTCAGAGGAACAACCACCACCCACCCACCCAAGACCAACAATAGTCAAAACAGACCCCGTAGGTACGGTGGGTGCGTGTTGACTGCGATGAGAGGTCAAAGAGCGAGAGTGGTGCTACGTGCTGCATTGTACACCGGAAAGAGTCCTCTCAAATGGTTGCGTACATGAAAACAAAGACCAATATATATATACTCCAGTATACAATACGGCCACGACGCGCGGAAAAGGGGGTACACATGGAAGGAGGGGGGACGAAACAACACGAGGACTACCGTACCCCAGAAACCAAGACACTTGATAGCTGTGGAAATGAGGAACAAACTGCTGTGAAGCAACAAAAAACAATCTTCGTACCGTCGAAATCAAGACACCTACTAAATCGCTGTGGAAATGAGGTATGAAGCAACAAACAAGGATCTTCGTATCGTAGAAATCAAGCCGCTCGATAAATCGCTGTGAAAATGAGGAACAACCTGCTGCCAAAGCAACAAAAAAACAATATTCTACCGTAGAAATCAAGACACCTAATAAATCGGTGTGGAAACGAGGAAAAAACTGCTGCGAAGCAACAAGCAAGAATCTCCCTACCGTACAAGTCAAGTGACTAATCGCTGTGTAAATGAGAACCAAACTGCTGTGACGAAACAACAAGAATAATGTTCATCGTACCGGACACGGCAACGGTAGCGTAGAGGAAGGCCGGGTCCAGCGTGCGGCAGAGGATGTCCGCGGTGCCGGTCGCGAGGTGAGTGCCGAAGTCCACCACGGCAACGCGCCCCACGGACCTGCCGACAGCGAAAAACGCGCGAAACAACAGACCGTACGCCCAGCGCGAGGGGAACACACAAGCGAGACCACCAAACACAACACGCATGAACAAACGAGAGAGAGAGAGGAGAGAGAGAGAGAGAGAGATAACAACGAGTCGTGAGCAGGAGGAACTAAAACCGGCAGGCTCCATTGGGACCGTGGCTCGATAATGGAGAGTAATAGAGACAGAGGAGAACGTGCAATCAATCGGGGTGAGGCATGTGTATGGTGGAAAAACTAAACTGAGGATACATGAATTAACCCTGCGGCACAACAAAAAACGCCACTCACGGCGGCAACACGCCTCTCTGTCTCTCTCTCTCTCCCTCCCTCCCTCCCAGAAGGCAAGGAAAAACGAAGGGGAAAATATTGTCTACAAGCAAGCGTGGCACGCACGCGGGTCGATCGTTCCTCTTGGTGGTGTCCCACACAACCCACAAACCACAGGGAACCGCCTCAAAGCCAAACGCCCCGCCCCGGGACGGGTTAACCGGTGTCCGTCACCAACCCCCCAACCCCCCCCCCACCCCTCCCACCCACCACTGCATGTGCGCGTAGAGCGCCCCCACGGCGACGCTGTTCACGGCGCAGCACGCCCCCTCCTTCAGCTTCGGTACCCCACACCCGTGCCCAACCGAGTAGCCCCCGCTGGGAGCATGCCTCCCCGGGTTTTCCAGGAGGCAGAGAGCGTTCGTGCACCTGCCGGAGAGCACGGCAGACACGCCTCTCACGACGCACGCCGCCGAGGCGGAAGCGGCGCCCCACTCCTGCCGCCCCATGGCGGACATGTGCGCGAGGAACTCCTGCGTGTGCGCTTGGGCGAGGTACCGCTGACGGGAACAGAGAGAGAG